CAAAAGCGATAGAGTAATTTCTTTTTTTAAGCGTTGCCAAATTAAGTATATATCGTTATCGTGTAGGCAATGACCTGATTCTGTCATTAACCGCATTAGCTCTTATTAGTTTTCCTAGTACGCACATAATGGCTATATTTTACCTTTACTAGACATGTGATATAACGCACTTAAAGATATCTCTTCTACAAAGATGGCTGATCGTTGTGTAAAAGAATAACAATTAATAGATGAGTGACCGAATACAACTTTACTAAATATAAGACAAGTGAAATGGAACAAATAAAGTATAAAAAGAAAAGACATGGCTAACTAGCCTTGTCTACTAATCGAAGCTAATAGGGCTCGTTATGTAGGAAGAAAACTAGGTATTATATATAAATCCGCAAGCTTTTTAAGTCTTTCAAGCTCATGTGTAAAGAATTATTATCTTTTTTTACGCAAGGATTTGTTTGCAACTCCGACATATACAATTTTTCCTTTTTGTTAACCTTATATAAGCATTCCTCCTAAATTTTTTTATTATTTTGACTCGAACAAATTCCTGTTTTAATAAAAGCTAATTTGCGACTCTACATGCTATTTAAGATAATCTCTTGAAATCTTTAGAAAAAATTATTTCGGCCTCCTGTTCATATTTTAGCCATTTGGTTATTATTGAATACACAAGCTTACTTTTCAATCAACAATTTCCTGTTGGAAGTTGAATATATATATTACGCCATGTAATAACTAAGCCAAAATATACGTTTTTTACCACTTAACCCATGTTTCCCAAAATATGAGATGCTGTAGGTAATAAAGTAATATCTATAACCTCCTGCAAATCTATAATTTCCAGTGAACTGGTATTTTCTGTAACAAATCGAATAGTTGTTACTTCAATGAAGTTGGAAGGAGGTTGTACAACCAATAAAGGAAGGTGAATAAGAAATAACATATTTATAACTTATAATCGTAAAGTGATAAAAACAGAGCTATTTAAAAACAAGAGGCCATAATTGACTTCAAACAATTAAATGAAAATCTAACTTGTTTGTAGCCGACCAAGGGCAGATATACGCGTGAATAGAGGTAAAAAAATAGTTAACGAGAGCAATCACGGGCTTAAAAATATGAATGTCTAGGGCCAAGTGTTTTACATTCCCCCCCCCTTCTTTAATTATCTTTGTGGCAAATATTACAAATTAAGCTTTAATTCCCATGACAAAATTTATGGACGAGATTACGGCACAGTTCCGGTAAGCGGAAAGAATTATTATCTTCAAGCGCCTAGTCTTAAAAGCTCGTCTAACTTTGGTATTTTTCTGCGTAGCATGTTATGCAGTCATGAAGAAGTTTTATACGATTGCTTATTTTGACGGGGTGGGCCGATTGTCTAGAGGAACGCTCCAAAAAATTAAAAAATGAGGCCCTTATGTTCTTCTATCTCATATTCGATAGGTTTTCATTTCTTTATTGCCACCTGGATAGAGTATTTCGGTCATAAACTGCAAAAAGTTTCTATACAGTTTAATACGCGATATTCGTTGGGATTTACGGAAGCAGTTGACCCTACTTTATTCACTAGTAGTGAAGACTGTTTTCTACCGCCAAATTTTCTAGATATCTTCAATAAGTAACGTAAAATACATAATGAATTCTTAATTTTAGAATTGCAAGGCGGAAAGCAACTTTGCCAATTTATTCTGTTTCTTTAAAAGTGTAAAAATAACAACCCAATTATATAATTTATATGAAACAGCATAACGGTTACTATATATGGAACTGTCATGTAATACTGGGACATTAATCTAATGCAAATTAAAGGATAGAATTATTTCTCGGAAATAAATTTCTTTCCTGGAAATGGCTAATCCTGAATTGACGTATAAAAGGTAGTTTACAATTTGGAACCATAACAAGTTTTCGATAAATTTAGGGGTAAACCTGGTTGGCTAATTTACTATATGATAATTAATTTTGTCTGTATTTTAGCCAATTAGGGCTTTCGAAAAATTAGTTCAAGCTTACATTTGGTGCAGTAGAAAATGATGTGGCTGGAAACTTTGGCAATACCATAGTATGTCGTCATAATATTAGTACTGATATAATAAGTAGTTAGAAGTTAAAATGTTTGCTATACTGCTTATATAACCTTCAAGGTGAGATACACAAATTTCAAGAGCACTTCTCAGCTATTTAGAATAACCGCTAGGATTTAAGCAAAAAGTAGATGCAAAAAATTTAATGTACGGGCCTTCGTATCTTTAGTAACCTGTCCTTGATATAACACATGGGTAGTTGTACCTCGTTTTAAATTGTTCTCATAAAATATATAAATTTTTAAATGGTGTTATTATTAAAAAAGAGACAAAAAGAGGGAAAAAGAGGGTGCCTATCATTATTTCTATTAATATTATTATGTTCTGAGAAAAAGTATATAAAGTCAATACTATATTTTGGAGTTATTTATCTCTGATTATTACTAAAGTATCTATAAAAGTTTAAATATCATAACAACCCACCTCCCAGCAAAGTGCCACTTTTAGATCATACCAGTTTTAGTTTCTTATAAGTCTGCAGTTGTAATAGCTCACTGACAATTTTTTATTATAATCGTTCTATTCATGTATTTTAACATAAAGACAATTACATGGTAGTTCTTAGTGTTTTTTAACTGTAAGTTAAGATAAACATAATTTATTAAGTAAAATGCCCTGTTGCAATCAAGTAAGCTTCTGTGTTAAAGTAACGGCACAGTAAAGTACTTAGTCATTTAGAAGAAAATAGCTTGAAAATAGCTTAAAATGTATTTATACATCATCAAGGCTCCTTTAAGAAAATTAGTACTACTATCCATTTTTTTCTGGGCTCTAAAAGGTTATCCTCACCTTTAGTTTTCTGGTTTAATAATATCAGCTATATGTTACTTAGCTACTTTGAATGCTGTCAGACGAACATATGCGAGGCTTCTTAAAAGGCAACTATAATTTATAGTTGATTGTAACATAACAGTGCCTATAGGCAATTTCGTTTCTTCTTTAAGTATTCTGCACAACTTGAGGGCAGCATCACGCTTTTGGTTCATTAGCTCTATTCTAACAGTCTTTTTCAACGATACTTAACTCACACTCATTAAGTTCTCTCTCGGAACTAAGGCATCTAGCCTTATCTGCTAGGGACACACCCACTCGATGCTGCGTACTCAGAACAATCCTTCCGGTGGGAGAGACTTAGAACGACTCCAGGTTATATATAGGTGCTTGGCACATAAAATCCTTGGTTTAGGAAAAACTTCCGTCTTTAATTATTTATTACGTTTGGTCACTCTTCTGTTTATTCTTACCTTTTTTGGTTTCTTCAAATTTAAAAATTTTATACCTTAAAGTTTGTCCTTAGATATTCCAAGAATGACTTTTTGATTTACAGTTTCCTTTTTCATCAAAGTTTGCTTAAAATATCTGTAGATTATCTAAGTATTTACCCCTTTCTCAACACCTTGTCTGGCATAGTTGTAGAATGGTATAGATATGTGTGTTTTATTGATGCTATACTATCCACTCCTCCTTAGGCTCATAGTACTCCTCTAGGGGATATATGGCAAGCAAATTAATGGTAAGCGGTCTGCGCTCGACACCCCTGATGGTTCTGTAAAAGCCCTCAAATAAAAAATGTTATACGTATCACCCATACATAACAATAACATGCAAGGATTATTATAATGATCGCATCACTTCCCTCCTCGGCTTCACTTAGGCAAATAGTATATCTAAATTATTTAAAGTTTGAATATAGATTGAGAGCTCTCAGCATCCCTAAGAATAACCAGTAGGATAGGGTGAGGGGGGCTGGGGGAAGGGTTGAAACTGAAATTTAAGAAGTTTATTTTACCAAAAACTCCTCAATTGTTTGAAAATTGAATTGTGGAAGAGTACTAAAAATATTTATTTACTTATAGTCTTAAGTTTTTAAATAACGCTTTGCCTATATAACTTGTTACAGTTTTCTTAACTATTTTGTGGAAAACCTATTTTCCTAACTTTCTAATAAGCTCACTTTTGAGAAGCACTAGATAGCGCAAGGATTGCAAAAATCGCGATTTTCATAGTCACGGAGTTTGAGATGAGTTTTTATATCGGAAACTATCGCATTTACGTGTATACATTTAATCAAGCAGCTGCTAATTCTACTAGAGGACATAGTATTTTAGTATTTAAATTTACGAGTTGCGAAAAAAAAGATACAAAATTGAAATAGTTCTTATGCAGATCGTTTTAGTAAACACTAAAGTTTGCAAGATAAACGCTTTTATATTAATCTTAAAAAATTTCTAATAACCTCCAAAGGGTTGATTTAAAAAATTAGCCAGTTCTCAGGGTTATATGGTTGAAATAAGTTAAATTTTACTAATAAGATTAAAGAAAAGCCGAATTAAAGAATAATTCATTGTTAACGACAACGCTGAAAAATAAATAATTAGCCAAGAAAGTTATTTCTAAATGCCCTTTCCAGATCATTTAATATATTTTAATAAAGCAATCCGCAGTGCAAATTTTGAACATTCTAAATGAATTAAGCTTAACTTGTTCGTTAGTTTCTAATAAAGAATAAAAAGTATCATATATAATTAAAGCAGAGTCAGATTCTTTTATCAATGAAGTAAAAGTGCTATATAAAGTATCTGAAAAGCAATTCATTTAATTTTTAAAGTAATAAAAATATGAAAACAAATTTTAAAACTTATGATTATTATTAGAATTCTTCTGAAACGTGCTTTATCTGTGTGTTTGAAATATATATATATATATGAATAGCTTGACTTTATAAATTTATAGCAGTCCAAAAAAATTTATAACAATCTCACGAGCGGCACACTACAAACGTGTAAGTAGGAAGTTAATACATAAATAAATTTTAAGTTTTTAATAAAAATATATAGTTTAATATTAACAACGATTTAGTAACACCTAAATAGCTAATCATCTGCTTTTAATAATTAAGTAAAATAAAATTGCTTGCTAAAGTGCTTCAAAATCTTCCATCATCTTTAGGTAAAATAACATTTTCCTTTCTGCAAAATAACTTCAAAAAACTATTTACTAGATTACACGCTAACGACAAGTATAAAGATTACTTGTAAACAAAATTTTCAACCTCTGGACAATTCGAGCTTTCATCTTCATAAATATTTTAAATTTGAAGTATAGAATAAGTAAAATTTTTTGCTAAATAACAATTTACGTAACAATTTCGAAGCAAAATGACCTTCAGTTACTCTTTCTATAGACACTCGGTACAAAAGACATACTGCTTTAAAGAAGTAAAATTCCAAAGCTTCAAAGCTTTTTATGGCCGTTCTTAAAAAATTTTTACTCTATTAAATAAAAAATAATAATAAATAAAAATTTTTTAATTTCATATTTTACTGTTTTGTATTTTTTCTTATAATGGTCGAACATTCCGCAAGCTAATTTGTACACAGGAAAGGCTAGAACGCACCTGATTTTGAGTAAAGCCTTTAAAATATAGAACTAAAAAATTATTTTTACCTCTCCGAGATTGCCTTCAAAAACTCTAATATACGAGAAGAACATTTCAACTTTTTTTTAAAAAAAGTTAACTTTAGTAAGACTTATACAAAAGCACCAGAATTACGATGCTCTCCTCCGAAAGAAAGTCGCCGTTTTCCAGGTAAGCCCGAGAAAGATTCAGGCATGCGGCCACCAGAAAATAAAAACCGTCGACGAAGTAGCCAATGACAGGCTTATCAAAGACTTCTAATAAAGCAAGTGCCGAGTCAAATTCCGCCTTCGCGCTTAAATCTTTACAAGTGCTCTTAGCGAAGGCACGAAGGCACAGCAGCTGAAAGCGGTCACTCGCTGTTTCCGCCAAAAAATAAAAAGTTTCTCAAAACTTTTATGTTTTTGCGAAGAGTCTGTTATGAGTATACCCGTTTCTACTAACTTAAGGCCTTCTTCAGTAGCTTTTAGAGAATCGTTAATAACATTTTGACATAAGCACAGCATGGCGTCCATGGTATACGCTAAGGCTTCGATTTCAATGATTTATTAAATTTATAATACAAGTTATATTTTTCACAAGATAATTCTGATAAACTAAGGTATTATACTTGAGTTGTGCGATTGTTAGCGTACAATAAGTTAATAACAACACCCAGATTGCAAAAATAATTAAAGTTAGCGAAATAAATTTAAATAGTAGTATTTTTAATCTAATCTATACCAAATTTTAAAAAGATTAAATACTAAATATTAAGAAATCAGATAATAAAGGCGTATCTGCACCATAAGAACGATTCGTGACTGGAGTTGCCTTGAAGATCTCGGCAGAAGCAAAGGAACTCATTACTGTTTCCCCGCGTAGAAATAAAAGTTTGGCTTTGCAATAGAAAACTTCTCCGTACTCCAGAATGTCTTAAAGTTGGCAATAATTTTAATTTTCGTCAAATTTTTAAAATTTATATATAATAAATTTTTATTAATAAATTCTCGTAAATTGGGAATATTTGTAAACCACCTTTATTTTAATAAATGAATTATCTTAATGCGTTACTACCTTTTATTATAGAGCGCTTTAATTTAATAATAAAGTTTTACTTTTCTTCATGACCAATTAGTCTACTTTCTCTTCCTAAAAACCGCTAAAAATTACGTGCACTTTTGGTTGTGATGGTCAGAGCGCTTAGCAATCTCCAAGAAGAGGAGTAAGATTTAACACCTTTAGATATTTTTAATTCATAGTAAAAGTCGAGATCAATTAAGAAATTCATACACTCGAATAATAGCAATAAAAATAAAGTTGCTAAATTTATAGACCCGAATCTGTTTTGTCCTTAATAATGATATGCAAGTAAGCGCTAATGTGAAAGGTTACAGCCTCGCCTCGAATTTCATAGGTTTAGAGAATCTCATACTAATTATTCTTAGACATTTCTTTAACGCAGATGTTTTAAATTATTCTCTATGAATTTGATGGGGTCTAAGAATTCTAACTGCTCCTTGCAAAAATCTCTTTGAATAAAACTGAGAAAAGTTATATTAGGTTGAAATCGCTACCTTTTTTAAATGTATTAAATTGCTAAAATCTTATAAAAGATTTTGTAAGGCTGCAGTACTTTTAGTAATTATTAGTTTTTCTTATCGTAATGTAGCTAAATTTTTTTTTATTTTATATCGTAAAATAAAAATTAATAGATTTCTCAAACGTTTATGTATAAAAGCGTATTAAATTCTAGAGACAAATTACTAAGCAAACTAAAGGTTTTTATTCTACTTTTTCCCTACTAATTTGAAAGTAAGTAATATAATTAAATACGAAAGCATCTTTTAAAACGCTGGGATTGAAGGTAAAACCAATACATAAACAAAAAATAAATTATAAATATTATTCTTTAAAACAAAAAAATATTATAAGAGAATTAATAATAAATTAATTTTTCATTTAAAAATAAATCTTTTATTATTATTATTACTATTTTATAAAGTTGAATTAAAAAACTGTAAACATAATTTTCTTTAACTGTGTAACTTTTTATAACCAAATTACTACAAATCCAAAAATTTAATTATTTTTAATAAATAAAATGAACAAAGAAAATTAAAATTATACTTTTCATTATATAAAAATAGTTAAAACAATAATTATTTATATATAATATAATGAAGTAAAATTTAATAGTGGAAATAACAACTATTATAATACTTTTTTCAAGCATTGTTCGTTGCATTGTGCTTATCAAGTCTAGCGATTCGCTGATTTTTCCAAAAAAATAGTAACTGTACAGGCCAATGAGATGGATGGGATTCATATCCGGGTCTATGATTTGCTCGGATAACTTTTTCACAAGTTTATGGAAAAATTTTTCTTTTGTTCGTTTTCCCTTGTAATAATTTTAAAGATAATGATAGTAATAATAATAATAGTCATAATAATAATAATAATAATAATAATAATAATAATAATAATAATAATAATAATAATAATAATTAAACTTTAACGGAGGCCAGAATAAAGCCGAACCACGAAAAAGCGGTTAAATGAACTTGACAGACTTCAAAAGTCATCACCGTATTAACCAGTTGTATTCCCAATGCAAGCATTTGTCGTCCATTACCGTTTAAGACTAATTACAATAGTAATAATAATAATAATAATAATAATAATAATAATAATAATAATAATAATAATAATAATAATAATAATAATAATAATAATAATAATAATAATAAATATGATAATAAAGATAACGATAATAGATAACGATAATAATGATAATAATAATATTTCTAATTCAAACTTGTGATATTTTTATTCATAAATAATATTTATATATAGTTGTTATTATTTTTTATTATATTATTTTTAGTAATTATAATTAATTATAATTATATTTATATATTATTATTTTATTATATTATTAATTCAAATTTTATTATCATATATACTTTGTCTATTTTTATCTATAATACATATTATTTATACATGATAGGTACTTATAAATTTATTATTTTTATTCGTTATATTTATTATATTTTTTATAAGATGATAGTTTTCTTTTTATTATTATAAATTCATGGTACATTTATTATTTTTATAATAATTTTTTGTACATATTTAGTATTTAAACTAACTTTACTCAATAACAATAACAATGTTATTAATATATTACAGTGAATTTTTATTAGAGACTCCAAAGCCCGAGAAATTTCGTAACTTTCCTTGAGTAGTGGATACAATACCATTCTTTTTTCATATTCTTTATTGAATATTTATAAAAATAATATAAAAATAGCAATGAAAAAAGGGACCTGCCGTCGTCCTGAGAGCGGAAGGAGAGATAACAAAATTGGTTACAAGTTCCGATTCCTACGATTATTTAAGTTAACAATTTAGTTTTTTTGGTAAGAAATACATAAATAAACCAAATTAAAGTTATCAGGTGAGGATTTGCTTGTTTCCTTAAAGCGAAAAGGCGAAAATTTAGCAAATTGTGCCCTTGATGTCCGTTCCTCTTTAGAACCTTTTTTAATTGGTTAATTTACAATTATTCCGTTAGCTCAATAGGAGATTGTTAAAAAATCACCCAATAAACAAACTGAAGCCTCCAAATGTGTTTCAGCGTGGGTGTAACTTTCCAGGCCCATATACGCCATACCCATTATATATTCCCATGAGCTCGTGCTTTGGTAAAACCTTTTATTATTATTATTATTATTTTATTTTTATAATTATTATTATTTATTATGTTGGAGTTAAGATAAACCACGTACTCATACCATGTGGTACAAACATCACGTGTTTTCGTACATATGTCTTTACCACGTGTTTTATACTATGTGCTGTTACCACGTGTCGTAGTCGTGATTCTATGGTTCCCCGCATTATTATTTGATATTAATATATATTTTCAATTTAAAGTTATTTGTAGACTTTTTTTTGTGTTACTAGTAATATTAAAATATTTATACTGTATTTATTAATAGACTTTTTATGTAGCAATTTTTTTTTTTAAATTATATATAAATTGACGGATTGAAAATTGTATTAATTATATTATTTTTATTTACCCTTTTTTTGTGTATTTTTTCTTTATCTTTTTTATTGTTAGTTTTCAATTTTGTTTATTATTATATCAATTTTACTACTTTTCATGTAGAACTTTTATATAAAAATTTTAGTTTCCTTTTTTTTTAATTTAATTTATAATAGAAAATTTGCAGGATTTTAATACTCAGTATTTATATTCATTTATTTGTTACTAAACTTTTTATATTTTTTATTACTCTTAATATATTATTATTATTATTATTATTATTATTATTATTATTATTATTATTATTATTATTATTATTTATTAAATAAAAAGAGCATAACATCCAAGATAAAAAGTTTTTATGAGTCTCCAAAGCTTTGCTGGAAAGCTTTATAGCCTCCGAATAATTCTTTTCTGATAAGCAGTTTTCAGCGGCCTTTCCATAAAAAAATAGTATAAATGCATACAAAAAAAAAAAAGAGAACAATATATTTAGCCAATAGAAAATAAGAAAATCTCTATATTGTCAATCAGTGAACATAAAGGATATAAGGTAAAACCATTGTAAGGTAACTAACGGCTCTCGAGTATTGCTCATCGACTAGCAAATGCTCTGCAAGAAAAGCGTAGTGCGGTTCTAAATTGTGCGAGTATTTTTTTTCGTAGCTTTATAAAAGTAACAAGTCAATATTTTTATTAATATATAAAAGTAAATGCTACCAATAAATATAAAAAATTTATAAAAGTAAAGAGTTTTAGAGTAAATAGTAATAATAAATATAAAAAATTTTAAAAGTTATTAGTAAAACTTTTTTAAAAGGTTATAAGTAAATGATAATAAAATAAATAGTATAAAAAAGTAAATATTTTCCAAAAAATAAAAAAATTTATAATATAAAAAGTAATAATGTAAAAAATTTGTAAATAATTAATAAATATAACAAAAATAATTCATAAAGTTATAATATAAAAATTAAATATTATAAAACTATTATTGAATAAAGAACATATAGAATTAATAATAAATAAATATATACAGAAATAATTATAAATAAAGATAATAATAATAATAATATATAAAATATTAATATAAAACTATAAAAAATAAAAATATTGATCAATAAATATAAAATAATAAAATAATTAATTAAACATTTGTATAATAAGACGGTGAATTTCCTGTCGGTGCTGCTTTAGAAGTAAATTGTACGCCACTTCCTATAGAAAAGTATAATTTATTATAAATTTACATACTAAATTTCTTTTTTATAATTTTATTATTATGTTTAACTTTTTAATAATAAACTTTTATTATTATTAGTATGAATATTAGTATTAGTATTATTATGAATTCAACTTCTTAAACTTTAATAACAATATAAAGATATCACCTTAAAACTTTTATAATTTTTTATTTTAAAAACTTTTTTACTTTTCAAATAACTTATAATAAAGTTATTACGACAAAAAAAGTTTTTTTTACTTTTGTTTATACGTTAAAATATATTTAATAGTAAAAGTGAATACTTTTGTAAAAACCTTCAAACTTTATTAAAAGTTGTAAAAATATTTCGTTATTCATCTTTTTATTTTTTAATAAAAAAAGTCAAAAGTAAAAAATATAAATTTCATAATGTAAAGGGGTAAAATTATTAATATTTATATATACTTTTCTTAGGTATTTAAGGCTTTTAAAAAGTTAACAGTAATAAAAAGTAAAAGTTTTCAAATTTATATATAAACTTTTATAATATTATACTTCAATTATTATAAAATTGTATAAAGCTTTAAAAATTATATATATACTTTATTTTAGTATTTCATATGGTAAATATTACTAATAAGAAAAAGTAAATAAACATTAGAATTTTAATTTACAAAAATTTATATGAACTTAAACTTTATTAAATAAGTTAAGAAATAATTTTTTAATAAAAATAATAATAAACTTTTATAACTTATTATTTTTTTAAGCATTTATATAAAAATAATGTTAAGTTGACTGAAAAAAACTAAAAGATATTTAAGAAAAATATGAAGTTTATAATAATAGAAACTTCATATGGAATTTATGTAAAATAAATAAAAATATAATAATAAACTTTTATATAATTATTTTTAAATATATTAGAAATATAATATATTTATAAAAATAATAAAAAGTTTATGAATATAATATTATTATAACTTTTCTTATATTAAAGTAATAATAAAAATATTTTTCTAAATCGCAAAACTATAAAAAACTTTAAAACTAATAACAATTACTAAGAAAATTTATACAAAAAAAAACTTTATTATTAAGTTTATTTAGATACAAAACTTTGAAATATTTATATAAAAACATTTTTTTAAGAATATTAGAAATATTTATTGAAGTTTATAAAAGATTAAATATTATTTTTATTAAATATAAAAATAAGAAAGTCATTAATAAAACTTTAATAATTAATTTAAAAAAATAATTTTTTCAAAGTTATTAAAATTTTGTAGTAAAGTTAATAAAAAAATAAAAGTTTTGTATATATAAAAATACGAAAGTTATAAATGAAAACATTAAATAATTTTTAAATAAAAATATTTTTTTAAAAAGTTATAACGTTTTATAGTCAAGTTTATAGAAAATAAATATAAGTTTTTCAAAAATATATATTAACAAGTTATTAATACGTTGAATGACATTTCTATAAAAAGTATTTTTTTTTTTAATTATTAGAATTTTATGTAAAAGTATTTATATTTTAAATAAAAAATTTTTAAGACACAAACCCGAAGTTTTTCGTTCGTGAAAATAAAAAGGTCACGCTCCTCATCGTAAGTCAGTTCCACTTCATCAGCAACCATGCTAGTATATAATAATAATAATAATAATAATAATAATAATAATAATAATAATAATAATAATAATAATAATAATAATAATAATAATAATAATAATAATAATAATAATAATAATAATAATAATAATAATAATAATAATAATAATAGTAATAATGGTAATAATAATAGTAAAAATAATAATAATGATAATAATAATAATTAGTCAAATACGTAAAAATATTTCAACCAGTAAAAGGATTTTTATGACAGTGAGAAACTTGCTTACATAAAAAAGTATTAATAATTGCTGTTTAATAATTGAAATACAATTTAAATTAACGTGATTCAATAACAGCTTGCAAGGTTATAACTGGATGAGACTTAACCAGTAGAATTAAAAATACTAAACATTTAATAACATGCAACGGATTGTTTCACGTGATAGTTACTAATGAAGAAGCAATCATAATTTTTTTGACTAAAAATTCGCTTTACAATATTGTTCACTTTTTTAAAGAAAATAAAAAAACAGTTAAAAGAAAATATATTTTAACGCCGAAAAAACGTATATATTAAGAATATTTATTAATATTAATATTAATATTATTATTATTGTTAATATTATTATTATTATTAATATTATTATTAATATTATTATTAATATTATTATTATTATTATTATTACTATTATTAATTACTACAGCTTCCTATAAAGCGAAGATAGAGAAATTTTTCGCAAGCCAGGAAGTTGGTTAAGCACATCCGACAACGTTTCGATAGTAAACGCATGACCTGCTCATTTATTATTATTATTTTTGTTATTGTTATTATTATTATAATACCAATACAACTCGCCACTTTAATAATGACCTGCGCTTTCCTGTCCAAGTTGTCTAAGGTTATTCAGTTTTATATAATAATAATAATAATAATAATAATAATAATAATAATAATAATAATAATAATAATAATAATAATAATAATAATAAATACTGCTTCACCGATTCGGGAAGTCAGTAACTCCTCCATGCCTCTCATTTCAATATCTAAAAGCTCATTATAATTAGTAACAGAAACTTTAGAATCCGAAATCTTCAGTAAATTTCTTGAAAGCATTTGTTGAATGAGCTCCCCTGCAAACTATAGTTTTCATTATTATTATAAAGTAATAAAAAAAAATGCTTAGCAACGCAAAAAATATAATGAAAAAAAAAAACCCTCGGAGAACCCTTCGATCTTTTATAGACAAAATCTACAAGTTCATCAGGAACAGTAGCATTTAGTTTTAATGTACAGAATTCTTTTATTTCTGATAATAATAATAATAATAATAATAATAATAATAATAATAATAATAATAATCATTGAAAAAACAACATAATAAACTCACCAGAAATGTCCATAGAATGCAAGTGGAGGAGCAAGCACGCTTCATTACTGATCAGCTCAAGATATTCAGGAACTTCCAGCGCGTCGTTCTCGCGAAGACACAGCACCAATAGAATATTGTCGTTGGATAGAAGCTCGATGATCACAAACCAAGACCCAGAATCCAACCAATGAGCATCGTCAAGTACAAAAACGCATTTTTCAGGCAGAGAACTGCATATCACTAATGAAACAGAAACAGTAATAATAATAATAATAATAATAGTAGTAGTAATAATAATAATAATAATAATAATAATAATAATAATAATAATAATAATAATAATAATAATAATAATAATAATAATAACAATAAGTAAAACCGTGTACTACTATATTTTTTTCGGCTTCTGCTAATTCAGTTTCTGTAAAATCCGAAATCTCAACGGGCTCTTCGATAAACAATGTAGGTTTGCTCAAAAAAGAATCCGCACGCCCTGATATAAATAATAATAATAAGTAAAAAAAAGTTAGAAAAAAATTTATTATACTATTAAATATATATAACTTTTAAAAAATGAATACAGGAAAAAGTTAAAATTTTATATAGTCTCCTAAAACACACTTTAAGTAAAGAAGTTAATAAAAAAAATAGCATAAACTTCATTCTTATTATTTATTACTATTATTTATACCGAGGATGCGGTTAAACAAACAAGCCATATTCTTTAATTCTGGGAAATGTACTGCAAAGTAATTCACTACTTTCTCCCCCATTAACATATTCCAATCACTATCGCCTAATAATAATAATATTAATAATAGTAATAATAGTAATAATAATAATATTAATAATAATAATATAATAATAATAATAATTTACCTTCATATCTGTCAAAGTTAAATATAGTTTTTAATATCGTTAGGAAGGCAGAAAAGGGTCGTTGATCGCTACTTTCAGTGTGACACACTGTCAACTCCAATCCATACTTTTATAACAATAATAATAATAATAACAGTTGTAATAATAATAATAATAATAATAAATAAATAAATAAATAAATAAATAAATAAATAAATAAATAAAACTTCTTTGCAACGGCGAATAGTGTCGTTAGCTAAAGAGGTCTTTCCAACTCCTATATGGCACGTGGTATATATAACATTTAATAAGTATTGATTAAAAATTACAACGTCATGCAATAAAAAATTCTGTCTTTAATAAAAATAAATAATTGCCTGCGTTTCCCTTTACAACTATAATGCGTTTTCTAAGAGATTTTCCTTCTATAAAACTTTTTCAGATTGGAATAATTTAAAATTATTTTATATTTGCTATTAAAAAAAGTTACTCCTGCAACGCTTTGGTTATATGCATTTTCTCTTCTTCATTGCCGATGTGGACGTTGTTGTCGCGGTTATACTTTGCGCTGGTAAACTCTGTGCGCTCTTTAATTTTTTGAAGAGGGCGAAAGACGAGAACATCCTTATCGAGACCTGCAAAAAAATTCTTATATTTGCTCTGAAAAAAAAACACTTTTTTTAATTTTTATACGACCTTTTAATTTTATTGGCATCCACTTTTCAAACATAAGAACGTCCTTGGACCTTTCATAAGTCATCTATAATGAGTTCATAAGCGCTGACAATAAAGCAAAAAAACTGAGGTGTCTTACTTCATCTACTAATATCGTGTTGGTCGTAAAGCACATGAGTCGAGCACTAAGGTTGACGGTCGAACCAAGTATCGCGTACTCGGCCCTTTTGTCCTTTTGGCCGTAAACACCACAAAACAGTCTACGCAGGAAATTCCAGAATTATTATAAATACGTATTTCGGAGAAAAAATGCTTGAAAACCTTCCAGTGGCTATACCCATACTGGACGGAAGGTTCTGGTTACGCAGAAGGTCGCTTACAGCGAGCGCAGTGAGACACGCCCGCACCGGGTCATCTGCATGAGCACCAGCAGGCGGAAGCCCAAAAACTACAACTATTGTTGTCCCTTTTTCATCAATCAAAAGTTTATTTATAATTCCTATGAAACAGAAAGTAATACCAAATACATAGCCTTATTAAATATAGAACCGTCGTAATGAGAAGTAACACTTTGAACAGTATAAACATATTTTTGTAAGTTTTGCAGAGAGTCGGTAGCAAGTACATGCTTACAGTTGACAAAACTATATGACATAATAAGGTGTATAAGTTGCGTCATGTGAATTAGTTCAGTAGAGATAGCGAAAATTGTATAAATATTTTTTTATATAGTTATATAATAGAAATGAGAAAAATTTTTAAATCATTCACTGCATTACCACTAGTAAAAGCTCATCTCGTTGATAATAAAGAAATATTTTGCATAAAACCCACTAAAAGGTACAGTAAAATAGTAGTGAACACTAGACAATTCAACCAATTAATGACCACTTAATACCCTGGCGAATTTTTTACTGGTTATCATTCCTATTTAATCTATATTCAAAGTATTCTTTAAATATTATTGCAACCTGTTTTTCGTTTAATTCTTATACCATTAAATAGCGCTACTTTAATACTTTCACACATAAATTACACCTGTAAGGTTCGGTTAGACGACGTGAAAATTAGCTCGCAGTGGTATATAAGGAAATGAAGTAAAGCATTCAAATTCTATATAATTGTATGTACATACAGAACAGTAGACGAGCGGGTCTCCCCGGTGCGGTCGGCCATGTTATCAAGGACAGTGTGCAAGGCGGAGGGATTTATATAAGAAAGAAGACCTATTAGCATATGTTAAACTTATAACCTGTAGCTTTTTACTTATAAAATAATCCCAATATGGCTTATTTGGCGTTGAATTAGCTAAACTAAGCCGAAAATTGGCTTCTCTTATTAATAGCTTCTCACTGTGTTATGAATTTTATAATTTATCGCTTTACAAAGCTTTTAACTTTTTTTTTGTTATGCTAAGTCTTTTTATAGGTAATAGAGTAGTGCAGTTCATAACAAGCCCAGCTTTTTTTTTTCAACTTTGCTTTAAGTGTTTGTAAAGTGTAAAAAAATTGATAAAGGCATGCTAAGCTGTGGAATTATATATTTAAATAGTAACTTTAAACGATTTTGCAAAAGTACTAATGACCTCAACCCACAAAAGTTGTAGGTAAAATTTTAGATTTTTGCTTTATTCAGTTAACTTTTTCTTTGTATTATGCTATTCCTGCGGCAGTGCTCTTTTGCAAAATTGAAAACTTTCAAGTCCCTTAACGAAAATAGTTGTAATAGAGAAATAGTAGACGTCCCCGTTAAACTTTATGTATTGCTTATGTTACGCATTTATTTTATATAAAAGTTTTATTTTACTTTGCTTAAGAGGCATGTGTCGGGGGACGGACACAGAGAGGCGCTTTTGAAAAAAGACTAATAGCAGTCTTTACTATTTATTATTATATATATTACACTTATTACAAACCTTTTTACTTTAAAGTAAACTATTAAATTGTTCATTTCTCTATATTTATTTATAGTTTTTCTAAAATATTAAAATATTTTAAAAGTTTTTATTATAATTTTTAGAAAATTATAATCCTAACATAATATCTTTCTGCCAGCATAAAAATAAAATATATTTTCCACAGCTCTTTACAAGCACAAACTTTTTGCTAAAAAACTTTTTTTTTTAACTAAAAAGTTTGTAGTAACTTTTCGATGCTTAAATTACAACTAATATAAACTTTTTTATATTGCAAAGTTTATTTAAAAGAGTGTATAATTGTTAAAAGTCCTGACTTTTTTATTTAGAAGTATAATTTATAAAGGGCCCTCACTATCGGCTAAATTTTTTTTAGCTGAATGCACCAATGATAGTTCTCAAAGTTTAACTGAAAATTCTATAGAGATCGCCAAACGGATTTTTTTACCAATAAATAAAGCACGTGGAGCTCTGCTGTTTAACGCTCTATTTACATGTTCGTGTGTATAAAATATACCAAATTTGATTTGCAAACCACATAAAAACGCCAAATAATGCCATATAAGGGAGAAAATAACCCCATTACAATCTAATTAGGATATTTATAAGTTACTTTCATACATGGCCTCTTCAAGTTCGTGAGTAATAAGACGACTCTAATAGAAAAATATATATAATAAAGTCAGAAATAAGTAGAAGTTTATCTATTTTGTAACAGAAGATAATTGATTTACATATAAAAAAATGGATAGTATATATAAAAATTTTTATATAATTTATTTGTTAATAAAAAAATATAATTGCGATAAAATAGTTTGAATACTTTTTTATTCTTAAATAAAAATATTATGCTTACTATTAAAAAATATGAACAGTATAATTATGATATAAAAATTTTTTATAAATATAATAAGTAAAAGTTTTTTAAATGTATTTATAAAAAAAATTTATTTACCATTTAAAATTATTATCAGCATAATAATAATAATAAAAAGTTAGTAAAAGTTTTATTTTTATATATAGAAAATATTTTATTTACTATTAATAGATATGACCAGCAAAATCATAATTATAAAAAAAAAACTAAAATTAGTAAATGTTTCTTATTTTTATAAAAAATTATATTATATACTATTAAAAATATAAACAGCATAATTATGATAATGTTAGAAATTTATATATAAAAATAGAAAAAGATTTATTTATATTATAAGATATATTTTATTTACTATTATAAAATATGAACGCATTAAAGTTTATTATTTATTTATATAAAGAAAAATTATTTATTATTAAAAAATATAAGACAATTATAATAATGAAAAAAAAACATATAGAATAATAGTAATAGTTTATTTAAGATTTGAAAGTAGTTGAAAAAATAAATATGCAGTTTTAAATTTTTATATATAGAAAAAATTTTGTGTACTATTTAAAAATAATTAAATATATTTTTTTTATAAATTAATTAGTAAAAGTATTTTATTATTATATAAAATATAATATTTAAATATTAATTTCTATTAAAAAATGAATGAAATATAAGTTTTCATTTATAAAAAATAATATTTATAATATATATTAGAATAATAAGAATAATGTTACAAAGTGAAAATAAACAAAGTACATTTATAATAGTAATAAGTTTTGTTATTATTTTAATAAAAGTTATTAACCAATAATAAAAAGTAAAAGTGTAATTATTGTTATAATACTATACGAAAAAAGTATATTTTTATAATAAATAAAAAACTTTAGTATTCAGAAGTTGATAAAATATATATAAAATATATGTAAATAATAAAATATTAATACTTTTTATATAAACTTTAATAATAAAATAATAATTAAACATTTTTATTATTATATAAATGATCTTTACTTCTCTAAACTTTATAGTTTTGCAATCTTTAATAAACATTTTATTATAATATAAAAAGTATTATAAAAAATATTAATAAAATTTAATATAATAAAATAAAAAAATTATTATAAAGTATTAAAATAAAAAAGTTAAAATATTTTCATATTATATAAAAAAATCTCCAAAAGTTTTTTTTTATAAAACATTTTATATATAAATAGAAAACTAAGAAGTTTTTTAAAAATATTTTACTTGTATATACTAACCTACCTACTATCGTTGTAATAAATATTAATGTTTTTAATAAAAAAAAATATAAATTTTACTTGTTTATTATGTTTTTTGTTCTATTATAAGAAAACTTTTACAAAATATTATTATAACAAAAAATTTAAATTTATTTCATAAATGTATTTAAAAAAATATATTTTTTAAATATAAAAAGTATCATATTTAAAAAAACTTTTCATATTATTCTAAAGTTATTATACGTTTTATAAAAGTCAATTATAATAAAATGTTTTATTTTTATTTATTATTTATTTCATATAAAAGCTATTAATAATATTTAATTATTTTAATAGGTTTGGAAGTTTTCATACAAAAAGTTTTTACATATAATAACTTTAGAAAGTTTTTACAATATATTATACTAAAACGTTTCTTTTTTCTGAAAAATAACTGGTTAATTATATTGTTATTAAACAATGATATAAAATAGGCCTTAGATTGGTGTCAATGTACGAATAAAGCATAATCTAATTGGTTGCTTAAGTTTTGATAAAAATGGCATTTGATTTGTATAGGGGTATAAAGTTTTATTATTAAAAACTTTTAAAGAATATAAAATACTTTTTAAAAATAATAATGAACTATTTATTCTATAAAAAAATAAAATTTATTTCATTATAAAAAAGGATAATAAAAAAAGTTGTCATAAAGTAAAAAAAATTTAACTGGTTTTATTGGAGGAGCGCGGCATTCTAATACGCGATAAGCCCCAACAGATTTAGTGTTTTTTTTAGTATCGCCGCCGCCGAGCGCTTTTACCTTTAAAATAATAATTATTAAAAGATACTAATAAGTAAATTATAAAAAAATAATCAAAAAAATATTATAATATGATAATATATATCTATAAACATAATTCATAATATATAATAATAAGAAAATATATTATACGTTATAATAATAATAAATAAAATATTTAATAATGAAGTATTATAAAATGATAACAATAATAATAATAAATCGAAAATATATATTACAAAATTTTTTATAAATTAATAATAATAAATAGTAAACAACATTAATATAATAAACAGTATATATACATGATAAAAGAAAAGTAAAATGTTAATAATAAACATAAAAAATAATAATAAATGGAAAAAAAGTTTTTTTAAAATTTTTTTTTAATTTTTTTTAAATTTTACTTTTTGATTTTCATATTTCGTTTATATAAAAGTAAAAAATATATAATTATAGTAATATTAATACTCAATAAGAAAATATATTATTTTTAATAATTATTATATAGATAATCTAATAAAAAGTAAAATAATAATAAAATCTCTTCTTAAGTATTTCATATGTATTCAAATTTGAGTTCTTCCACTTCAAGTTATTATTTTACAAACATTAATGTAAATAAGTATAATAATTATTATTATAAGAAAAATCTTTTTTAAAATATTTATATATATTTACTTTTATTGAAAGTTTTTATAGTATAAATAAGAAAGTAAAATAAAATAATAATAATACTAATTAAATTTTCTTTTATTATTTAATTCCTCTTCTTTATTATTCTTTATATTTAATTATTATTTTTAAAGTTTAAATAATATAACTTAGAAAGTAAAAAAAAGTATCATAATAATGATAAGAAATAAAATTTTCTTTTTAAAAATTTATTACATAATTTTATTTTCCTTATATTTTAATATTTTAATATTTCTTATCAAAAGTTTTTATAATAAAAAAAGAATATAAAGAAATATAATAATAATAATAATAATAATAAATTTACTTTTTGATATTTTATACATAATTTTTATTTTCCTTTACATATACTATTCTTTTTTGTACGTTTTAATAGAATAAATAAGAAAGCAAAAGAGCATAATAAAAATAAAAATAAAAATTCTTTTTGATAATTTATATATATTTTATATTTTCCTTTATATTTTATTACTCCTTTATTAAAAGTTTTCATATATAATGAAGTAAAAAATAATAATAATACTACCGAACAGTCATTCTTAATAACTTGGAACAACTCGGCACTCACGACGACTTGCCCGCTGCTACAAAGATGGTCGACGCGCGATATTTGTTCCAGTGGCCGACCGGCCACCTGCCAGAACCACCTGTTTCCTGCCGCGTGGTTAAGTTGTGAGAAATAAAATTGTTATACAGAAATAATATTTAAATTTTTTCATTATTTATATTGAAAAGATTTATTTATACTATAATATTGAAATTATTATTTATTATAATTGGCATATAAATATTATTATTATTATAACGAAAAAGTTCAATTATACCCAATTAATTAAATTATTATTTATCCTTTATTGGCATATCAATATTAAAAAATAATGAATTTTCAAATAAAAATGCAAAATAATTTTATGAATATTATCATCATTTTTAATGATAAGTGGAATTTATAATTTTTGGTTATTAGTATTACATAAATAAATACTGGCTCATAACAATAATTTAAACAAAATTTTCATATGATAATAGTATGGGCCCTCACCGAGGCCGCCAACGTGCATGCCAGTGCAATGTCCAAAGCCTGAAGTTATATGAACTGTTAGTTTTTGCAGTTTCTCATTAGTTCTTTCCTGCGTAGTTCGTATAAAGAAAAGTTGTAAAAAATTAATAAAGGATATTAAAATAACATCTTTTAAATTATTTTCCTTCAAAATTTAAAAAAATATAAGACATATAATAAAAAAGATAGCAATAAAAAGATAATAATAATAAATATATAAAGACTTCCTTTAAAAATATATAATAAAACTAATTAGATTTGAATAATATTATATATTTAAATTAAAATTTAATTTCCTTTTTAAGTGAAAAGAAAAATTTTAAATCAATTTATTATAAATATGTTATAATAAAAATCAATTTTATAAATAAAAATTATACAAGTATTAATATATAATTAAAATAATAATAGAAATTATTTTAAAAATCAAAAAGATTTTTAATTTAGTAGGAAAAAAATTAAATTAGTCAGTATAAGCAGCTCACTGATATGCATATACTTAACTTTTTTTATAAACTTCACAATAATAAAAATAAGGAGACATAAAAAATATTGAAAATAAATAAATAAATTTATAAACTTAAAAGAATTAATAAATTAACAATAAAAAATTTAAATTATACTTTTCTAAAAATAAAGTTAATAAATATATGTTAATACAAAATAATAATAAAAACTTCATTATAGTAAAAAGAAAAAATATAGAAACTTTGGAAAAAGAAATTCATTTTACAAATTAAAAATAGTTATAAAAATATTTATAAAAAATAAAACTTTAATTTCAAATTATTCCTTTAATCAATAATCATGAAAACTTTATTTATTTTAATCAAGTATAAATTTTAATATAAAAAGCAATTTAAGAAAATTAATTTAATTCAAGAACTACACCAAATAAAATTCTAGTATTTACATAAAGGGCCGCATAAAAAAAAATACTTAAAAATATAAAACTTAAAAGGAAATTGGAATTAATTTTAGCAAATCTTATATAATTCTAAACAAAAATAAAAGTGTGAGTTACAAAAGTGAGAAGTTTATAATTTAACTAAATTATTTATTATGCATATTAAATTTAATTTTTTACGAAAATTTTTTAAACAATGAGAATTCACGAAAAACTTTTTAAATTCAAATTACGTATAAATTTTATTATATTAAATTTTTTTCTAAAAATTATTTGATTTAAATTTCACCACAAATATATAAAAAGTTTTAATTTTTTAAAGAAATTTGAACTAATATTAAGCAAAAATAAATTAAATTTTAATAAAAATTAACACCTTTTATTTATAAACGTATGCATCTATAAAATTAAATTAAAAACCATCTTTTGAAATAAATTTAATTTTTTTTCAAAATCATTTTAAATAAAAAGAATCTACAAGAACTTTCTTATTTTAAATTACGTATAAACTTAAATATTAATTTTATGATTAAAATAATTTTTTTTCAGAAGTAACTAATTTAATTAAAGAAAAATATACAAAATAAAATTCGTAAGTTAATTTAGAAAGTCCTCTAAAAAGGAAAATGTTTGATCAGCTTATAAATTAAAATGAAATATGAATCAAGTTTAAGAAAATTTTATGTAAAATTCTTTAGAAAAAAGAAAACCTAAAGTTAGAAAAGTTTGAATTTCAGGAAATGAATTAAAAACTTAATCTTCTACAATAACTTTTATATTCTTAAAAATTAGAAAAAATTCAAATCACAAAAACTTTTTTAATTTAAATAAACTATAAAATTTAGAAGAAAAAGCAACTTAAAATTTTAATTAAAAATTGATCTTAAAAAAAACTACACAAAATTAAGTTCTTAAAAAACGAACTAAAAAATTATAAATACTCAAAACAAATATTTTCATAATTAAATTAAATATAAATTCTAGTGTAACTATTATAAATATGAAAAATTAACTTCAAAATCGATAAATGTAAATTAAATAACCTCTACAAAATTAAGCCCTTAAATAAACTTAAAGAACGAACTAGAAAATAAATGAAAATACTTTAAAAGTTGAGAGCTCTAAAACAAAGGAAAACCTTTAATTTACAAACGTATGAATTTTATAAGTCGAATTGAAAACTTAATCCTCCATAAATTTAATTTTTTTATAATTTATGAAAGAAAAAATGACAAGAACTTTTTTAAACTGAATTAAGTATAAATTTTAGTATGAATTGTATTATAAATATAAAAATTTTAATATAAAATTTAATTAAAATAAACTATACAAAAATAAATTTTTAAATTAACTTTAAGAACGCGTCTAAAAAGAAATGAAAATACTTAAAAAGTTCAAAATTTGAATTAAAATAAGCAAAAATTACATAAAACCTAAAAAAGTAAACCTTTGATTCACAAACGTAAGATCCTAAATGTTTCTGAATCGACAATGCACACTGCGTAGATATAATAGCAGAATCTCTTATTTTCTTTAAGATTACTTCTTGTGAATGAAATTCTTTTAGATAAATTATTTATAATTAATTATTTATGAGTAATTTAATTATTATTTGTTATATTTAAAATATTTTACAGGAAATGTTTTTGTCAATACGATAATCTTTAAAGATTTAATTTTTTTAAAAATCATTAACTTCTCTTTTATTTAACTTACTTTTATATAAATTTTATAATTTTGAATTGAATTCGTTTTATAATAAAAATGTTTTTCTTCTAATTCAAAACTATTAACTTTTTTTAAAAATTATATTACTTTCAAAGTAAATTCAAGTTATATTTGTCCCATAAATAATTTATAATTTTTTTATAATAAATTACTTAAACATATTGGATTTAAAATTTTATAACTATTTTCAGAAAATTTAGATTTAAATTATTTTAATTAATTTAAAAATGAATAAGATTTCTAATTACAAACCTTTATCTTCGATAACCCACATGCATATTAACGCATCTCCTGCAAAAGCAATTATATCTCCCCCAAATCTTTATTACGGTTAAAAAAAAAAAATTGTATAAAAAATTTAAATGGATGAAGTATATTTCATTAATAACAGAATACTCATTGATTTTTAGGGTTAACCGCGCAAAGTAATTATGTAAATGCCCCTAAAAAAATGTAATTATAATTAAATATTTTTTTATACTAACTTTTATTTTAACAATAAAAAAAATTAACGCTACTTTTAATTCTTCAATTCCATCATTTCCAAGAAAAGAAAGCTGTAAACTTAATGCCGTAAATCCGCTAATGTCTACAATTGAGATTACAGCAAGAAATTTTGTCTATTAGAATTTTATCATTTTCAAAAATTAGCTGCTTTCATTGCATTTTGAAGGTTATAAACAGAACCTCATTTACAATTCTTACTTGATTATTTTCATTTTTTATAAGATTTAATAAATGTCTTGGAACAAAAGAGCAAAGAATGGGAAGAAGAGATTCACGATATTCTTGTTTAGAAAGAAGTAAAAGTGCACGCCTTGATGAGTCATTTTGAATTTGTATGCGTTCTTCAAAGCAGTCAAAAGAATCTTTCTCAAAACTGGACAAACTACCTTCTCGATAATATATAAGCATATGGAAAAAGAATTAAATTTTGTTATAACTAAAAATATAATTGTTCTAACAGTTTTACTTAATATATTTTTTTTAAATAGCTCGTTATAATAAGGTTAGTTGATACCGTGAAGTTCGTCGTAAATTAAGTTTGATGACGCCATTTTATTATTGTTTTAGCATATTTATGTACAATATGTTTTTTGAATCTTGCATTTGAGTCTACTTTGAAAGTTTACTTATTTTCGAGAACAGCCAACTACATGATTAATATTAATCGAAAATCTTATTAATAACTAAAATTACGATATTAGGAAAAAGTGATTGCGCTTCCATCTTTGTACTTTCTAACTGATAAGCCGGGCAATCAATTTTTAACAATAAAATTTTATTATAGTTATTAATTATTAATTTACTAATTACTGGGAAAATATTTAAGCTTAAAGTCAACATTTATTTATTTTTTATTATTCATATACGAATTTATTAACATATTTTTATATTATATTTAATCATATAAATGTACATATACTTTTTAATTATTAATATACAAGTTTATGAATATATTTGAATAGTTATATTTATTCATATAAATTTATATATGATTTTTTATTATTTAATTTCAAATTTATTAACAAATTTGTATGTGGATTCTGGCGCCAGTTTGCTAATTTTGTACTTTACTTATTAGCTAATGAGAAACTAAATATTTGATTAAAAAATATCATAAAAGTTTTTAGTGCTTCTACTAAAATATTTAGTAAACATATATTAACATTTTTAACCGAAAACCCCTATTGTTATACGCTTTCTGTTTTGTGCAAAATATAAGTTTTATAAATATCGAAACTATTAAGTTCTTTTATTTAGAGGGAATTTAGGTAACGTAAGCAAAACGGAAATTTTTTTTATTTAAGCAGCTATGCCAAATTAACGAATGATTAAAGTATAACTACTCATTAATATCTTTTTAAATGACCATAAACTTGCATACTTGTTTAAAAAATATTTTAGTAGAGAACAGTTATAAAGAAGAGCGTAATAAAGAATATTAAGTTATTATGATTAAAAGTTTAGGACATGTTTTATTTATTATAATTTATATTGAGTTGTACTTAAGTTAGTGGCATCCCCTATTAAAGCTATTAAGTTATTTAAATAAAGATTCCAAAACTTAATTTCTTTTCATATGCTTTTTCTCGATAAAAGAATTATAACGCGGTAAAGAGAATTGTTAAATATTGTGGTTTAGAATATAATTGCTTTTAAAAATCCTTTTATTAAATGATTAGCAAAAGGAAAATACAATTTAACTTTTAAAATAATATATACATTCTGCACAACTTTTCCGATTGTTAAGCAAATAATATTCTACTAAAAATAATCTTGGGAGTAGCTTTGAAATTATCTATACCGATCAAAAGCTTTAGTATAAGTGGGTGTGAACAGCAATTGATAACAAATGTTTTAAGAGAGCGATCCCCCTTTTTTGTTGTGGTGAATAAGTTTACATATAAAATCTAATTGTTCTTACCTTTTATTATCCTCGGGTAAAAAAATATTATAATATCGGACAGTAAATAAATACCCTACTTTGGTTTAAGTGAAAGTTACTTGAGCTTTCAGTCAGGTAAAGGGAAATTCGCCAAATTCCATACTTTAATAATTGCTATTCACATTTTGGCGATATCCAAGTATTATGGGTAACATTTAAGTGAACTTTTTAGTAAAACATAGTTCACCACGTATTAACCCATCTTTAAAAACATCTTACAAGGAAATGAAGTAGTATAAACAAGTAGAGTGAAAAAAAACAATAAGCATGAGAAATGAGCCTCCTTTTTCTATTTTTCGAAGCCAATTGTCTACATACAAAGAGATTATGTTTGTTTGGTGGGACTGGAAAAGAATCATCTTCAACGAGTCCACGGCCGCCTTAAAGTGGACAAATGATTCTGACGAATCACTAGATTAGCTTTATTTGGTAGAGAACTAGAAGTTTTTTTGAGGTTACAGATTTCACAGAGAATTTGCTTGTTTTTTAACTATTAAACTGAATAACTTATTATTTGTTATCAAAGACCACATAATTTACTTATTCATTTGTTTGAAAAAGTTAAAATTAAATACAAGGCAAAGCCGCAAGTCTCACTCTAACTTTACTCAGCAATATAGTTGAATTTAAAAAAAAATTAAACAGCTGCCAAGAAATTATTAGATTATTAATATAAAAAACCTTCTGACTCTTGGCTGCAATTTGCTTATCATTATAAGCTTTTCATTAGATAGAGGGATCTTTCTAATATTTTTCTTCGCCGTAATATATACAAAAAGGTCTCTTTTTTCTGTTTATAAACGTTACGGTGTTTAGACTATATTGCATAGGAAAATTTGGCGACCGTTCAACATAGTTACAGTATATTTATGGCCATCATAATAAGTTCAGTGTACACCTACGAGAAAGTTAATTTTTACCTTAAAGTTACTAAAAGCTTGTTTTATAGTTTCTATAAATTGTTTTGTTTTATTAAAGGATGAATTTTTTGTAAAATTATAGATACACTCGCTTTCAATATTAATTTATTTTAAGTAATTTCTTACAATTTCACTGCCCTTTTTTAATTACTTTATAAGGATTTTTTTCTCTTTTTACATATCCTCTTCCCGGTCAAAGCCTTAAATACACATTTATTTATAATATATATTTACTTTTGTTATGAAATCTCTTAGAAATTCTCTAAACATTTTAACTAAAAAATGTCAGTAACCATCTCAAATCAACAACAAATTTACGTTTAAAATTTAGTTTTTTAACTTTTTTTTATACAAAAAAATTAATAAATTGTAAGTTGTAGTGTACATCATACTATAACAGTAGTAATACTGCCCTTTGCCAAAAGTACGGCACATTGTTATCGAATCATTATAGATAATTTTTTAAGCATACTCAGTGGAGTAGAGAACAAGCAAAAACGCAATTATTAGTGTCAACATGATTTATTATTTAAATTTTAAGGGAGTTAAGCGCCATAAGGAGATAATAAATGCTTAAAAAAATTGTATTTCAGTGGTTTCTATGAGAAACCTCTAAAAATAAACAAAAACTCAAATTAAATTTAAATTCAAATATATTTTTATAATAAACCTTTTATATGGTCGTGCGAGAAATAATAAAAAATTAAGCCCGAAACAAAAGCAAAATGGAACACAGGATTACATTTCCCCGGCACTATATATTTTTTTCTAGTAGAGCGAGAGGATGATTACACTATTAATTTTAGAACTATCCATCAAGTTATTATGACAAATACGACCTATAAGTTTCTATAGCTTCAATAAACGTAGTCTTCACACTGGACATACTAACGTTCTGAGCAATCCATTTGGGAAGGGAGTGTAACTTAGTGTTAAGCAATTCTTTAAGATTTGAATAAAGTTAATGCTGAAATTTATATCTCAAAAAAATATAAAAAAAAAGATCAATATCAATAGTAGGGAAGACAAAACATTGGAAACCTTTAAAGTCCATGCCTAACAACTTTTACGGTTGGCCTTACTAAACTTTGCGGTATTGTACTGTTAAAACTTCTTCCGAGGGCTTAAAGCTTTGTTCAATTTTAGTTTTGGGGTTTATTATTCTATTTTTGTTTAGCAGGTGAACAAGTGAATTATATTATATATGAGTAGTAAGATACTAACTAACTTTTCTAAACTAAAAGTATTATTGCTTAAAAACAATGTTTTATTTGTTTTTCTCTCTTGATTGTACTTATATTTTTATTATACTATTTAAGTTTAACAGTAAATAAAGTATATATTTGTAATAAATATTAAATACTAACAAACTACTAAATCTATGAAACATTGCAACTTAAAACAGTTAGTTTTATTTGTTATTTCTCGTTCAGCTGTAATTCTATCAAACAGATTAGTTTGTTTATTTTTAACGTTATTCTATTTTAGTATAATAATAAATAAAATATATTGTATAATAAATATTAAATGCTAAAAATTTTATAAAATAAAGAGTATTATAGCTTAAAAAAAAAAAAGATTAGTTTTATGTTTTTCCCCGCTTATTCATAATTTTCTTAAAGTCGGCTTGTTGATTTTTAAATGGTTATGCTATTTATTTTAGTAATAAATATATTTATTTTATAATAAATATCAATTACAAATAAATTGATATATATAAAATATATCAATATTAAAATAAATAGTTTTTTTCTTTTTTTCGCTATAGTGTAACTCTATCAACGTACACTACCTCCCCCCCCGCTCCCCTCTCATAAGTCAAAGATCTATAAATAATTTTGTTAGAAGTATAAATCTAATAAAAGAAATAACTTAACATATTATTATATATTTTTAAATGTATTGGATATAGAGGCTTTCATAAAGTAGCCAATATTATTTATTTTAAGTAATTTAAAGAATGAGTCATTTTACTAAAAGAAATTTATTATTTTACGCTAATTTAGACTACTTTAGAATTTTATAAACACATTATATATTAATAGCTGGAAAATAATATAATCGGGTAATTATTTTATAATAAATCTATTTTTTTTAACTCCACAATTTTTATTTATTTGTGATTGTATTAATACAAAAATCAACTTTAAAGGAAGAGGGGCAACGTAAATTGTTAAAAGGCTTCATCCTTTAACTAAATCCAGTATATATATGTTTTGTACAGTGTGGGATTAGAAAGACTTTTCTATAAATAATATTCTTATATAATTAAGAGATATATTAGTGATAATACTAGAAAAAAGGTTTATACTAAGACATTACAGTCGCTACACATAAATCAAGTACAGTGTACACTCGTACCAGTTAAAGAGATTTGATGGACAAAACTTTGTGTATACGTATATTCATAAAGTATTTTAAAAGGCTATTGTTTAAACAAACAACCGTTTATAACAAACACTTGATATTCTTTTTAACACAAAATTTAAGATATTCGTATATACAATATTAGTAGCAGATGCAACCCTTTTATGATTTTCCTTACTCCTCACGCAAACCTGCTAAGGATTCGAGTATTTTTTTAGCTGAGACTATGCTTTTTAATTTTATAAAGCCCTCAACTTCATCTAATACTAAAATATTTTTGAATTTTTTTATTTTTGTTATAATAAAAAATGATTGATACTTCCCTTGAAAGCAATCCTTACTTTCAAGCTGGTTTTGGTTTGACTTGCTTAGGAGCTGGTTTAGCACTGAGTAGAAAATTATCTTTGCAGCTTTTTCATTTACTTAAGAAACGTTATATTTTAACACTTGAGATTACTAAACGAGATCCCAGGTATAATTAAACTTGAATGTTTACTAATTTATTATTACTTCAATTAAATTTTATTAAATTATTTATGTTACCTTAATTCTAGTTATCATTGGGTACTAAAATGGCTCAATTCACAAAGCGAGTCGAGTTCTTCTATAATGATGCAACATGTAGAAGTGGAAACAGTTTCTCTTTCGAAGGAAACGGGAAATGTAAAAACTGAATTTCATTTTATACCTTCTCCTGGCACGCACGTAATAAATTACAAAGGAAGGTTTTTAAATTTTATTTATACAAACAAAAAAAAATCATCTTTATACTGCTTTTATTTTTATAACTCCAAAACTAGATGATGCGTATTTTTTATAAGATGGTTGATAGTTAAACGTCTTCGCGAAAAACAAATGGTTGATTTTTCTTTGGGAACTGCTTGGGAAAATCTTACTCTTATAACGTATGGAAGGGATCGGCAATTCTTGGAAGTGAGATACTTTTTGTTATATATCTATTAGAAATTTTTTAAAAAATGGGTTTCTAAATTAATGCATTGATTATCTTATTTAACAATTTATGTAAATAAGATTGTGTAGTGTACATATAAATTTAGTTGAGCAGTTTTACAGATTTTTTTGTATGTAGAAATCTTTAAATTTACCAGTAAATTTTAAAATTAAAAGATTAATTTATTAATATAAAAAGATGATTTTTTTTTTTAAATTTTTTTAGGGGCTTCTAAGAGACGCGCAAAGGAAGGCACTTGCAGAAATCAGAGACAAAACTTGTATTTATACTTTTTGGGGCACCGAATGGCGCCAGTTTGGAAGACCAAAACTGAGAAGGCCGCTCGATTCTGTAATTTTAGAGGGAAATTTAAAAGAAAATTTGGTTCAAGATGTGAAAAATTTTATAAAAAGTTCAAAGGTTGCGATTTTTATTAAATTTCTAATTTTTTAAATAATTTGTATAAAAGAAAAATTAATTTTAACTAACTCATTTATTAAATTATTAAATAAATGGTATTAACTTTTGTTATAAGTATTGTTTGCCTCCCTTTTATTATAAAAAACTATTAAAGTTATTTTTAAATTTTAATTTCTTTTACTAGATTAAATATTTATGAGCAGTGTATGAATTCTTATAATATAGTTTTTTAATTTGTAAAAAAGAAGAAATTTAAACTTTATATAATCTTATTTTTTTGTTATATACAAATAATATTAAATGCCTTTTATATATATTAAATCTAATTAACCTCTTAAAAAAAAACAATTTAATAATAGAATGTTTAATCTTATTGTGAATTTTAATTTCTTTTTTTAGATTAAATTATTTTTAAGCAGATTATGAGTTTTTTATATTTATTTTAAGTTTTAATTTTTTTTTGCTAAAAAAGAATTTTAACTTTTATTTTATTTTGGTTTTAAGGGTTAATATTTATTTCTGAACTTTTTTTTAGTTGCCTTTCTTATATATTTTTTTTAGAAAAAGAAATTTTAATTTTATTCAACTTTGAGATAATATTTTTATTAACTTTTTCTAATTAATCGTTAAGTTTTACTATTATTTGTTTTAAGCAGGATTTGTCTTCATTTTGTTAGATATTATTTTCTTTTTCTAAATTAATTATTTATAAGCAAAATCTTATTTCTGGGTTAATTTATTTTTAAACTATTTTTAAATGCCTTTTACATATATTTATTAAATTTAATTACATTGTTAAAAAAAAAATTTTAATTTTATTCAATTTAAAGATTTTTTAAACGTAAATTTACTAACTTTATATTATATTTCAACTCTTTAAGCTTTGCTATTATTTCTCTCTCCTCTGCTGCCCCATCACTACAAAAAATCAGTTACCATCCCCAGTGCTGATAAAAAAAATTTATACATCCATATATATATACCCCCCCTCGCAGGAAGAGGCATTCCTCCCAGCACTAAAAATTAGTTCCACAGGGGAAAAAAAAGTGAGTGCTAGCGCCTTTCCCAGCGCTTCAACTACAAAGCGATGTTTGCTTTCATTCATATAAAATAATTAATTTTTTACATTTAAATTTAATTTCTTTTTCCAGATTTATTTTAAGCATTTTATGAATCCTTTTATAGTTTTTTATAATTTATATAATTTGTTAAAAATAAGAAATTTAAATTTAAATCAACCTAAAGTTTTTAAATTTAAATTTTGTAAATATATTTTTTTAGCTTGTTAAGCTTTACTATTATTCAATTTTTTTTCTAGATTAAATTATTTATAAACAAATAATAATTACTTTTTAACTTTTTTTTAATTTACTAATTTTGTTATGATGAAATTTAAATTTAAGTTTTATTTTGATTTTGTATGTTAAATTATTTTTGCACAATTTCTAATTGCTTTTTATATATTTTTTTAAAATTAATTTTATTAAACTTTAAGATTTTAAATTTTAATTTATTTTAACTTTAAATTTTTATTAACTATTTTTATTAATCTTTAAACTTTATTGCTACTTTGTTATAAGCAGTGTTGATCCTTTTATAAAAACAATTAGTTTTTATTTTAAATTAAATTTATTTTATTTTAGATAAAAATATTTATGAGCAGTTTATGAGTTCATTTTATATTTTTTATAACATTTATAATTTCTTAAAAGTGGTACAACGATCGCGGAATTCCGTATAGGAGGGGCTATCTTTTACACGGGACGCCAGGATCGGGAAAATCTAGTTTTGTTATGGCTCTCGCTGGAGAAATTAGTCTATTATTATTAATTTGTTTAACTTTTTTGAAATCTTTTATTATAAAATTTTAATTTAGTATAGTTTCATTGGTATTATTAATCAAGTAAAATTATAAATTATTTCATTATTATTGTGAAGTGCGTTCAAAATTAAACTTGTTCTTTCTATTTTTTTAAAGTCACCAATAAAAACTTTTATTTATTAATTATTGCTGCGAAATTTATTAGTTTGTTTGTAATTACTATTATAAATTTATGTTTGTTATAAACTATTTTGTTATTATTAATATTTTTATATTAAAAATTTAATATAATTATATTATTGCGAATTTTATAATACTTAATTTACTATTATTTTTTATTTTTATTTTACTTATTATTATTATTTAATTAAGATTATAATATTTGTCTTGTAAATCTAAACGAACGCGGACTTTCTGATGATCGACTCGCACATTCCCTCAGCGAATCACCAGCTCAAAGCATTATCCTTCTTGAAGATATCGATGCAGCGTTTACCACGAGGTCTTTGCTTCATGCACGTGCGCACTTTTTTTAAAAGAAAAATATATTTTTTACTTTATAAATATTATTATTGTTTATTTATTAATTTATTTATTTTTTATTATTAATAGTATATATATTTATTTATCATTATTATTACAAAAATTTAATTATTTATTAATATTATATATTTATTACTTATTTTTTGTTATTATTTATTTATTTATTTTTTGTTACTATTAATATTTTATATATATCTATGTATTTTTTGTTATCATTATCATTAAATATTTATTTATATATTTTATATTATAATATATTTATTTATTTACTTTTTTTAATTATTATATATTAATTAATAATTTTTATTATAATATTATTTTTTTTTAATTATCATTATTATCTGCAGGAAGCAAAATGAGAATTATGGTCCTAATGTTACATTTAGTGGACTACTTAATGTTCTGGACGGCATTGTTGCTGGTGAAGAGCGAATTATTTTTATGACTACTAATCATATCGGTAGTTCGCTGTTCTCTATTATTATTATTACTATTATTACTATTATTACTATTATTATTATTATTATTATTATTAGTATTAGTGTTAGCATTAGTATTATTATCACCATTATTATTTTTTTTATTTTATAATATTTATAATTTATTAATTTATATATTATTTATTTTTACTTTTTATTACTTATTTACAGTTTATTATTTTTTATCATTTATCATTTACTATTTATTATTTATTATTTTTTCTTGATCATCTGTTATTTACGCTTTATTACTTTATATTATTTCTAATTTATTTACTATTTATTCATTTATTAATTCATTACTATATATTATTGTTTTTATTTATTTAATTTTTGCTACTTATTATTATTAATTTATTATTTATTGTTTATTAATTATTATTTATTAATTTAATATTATTAAATAAATTATTAATATTAAATATAATTCATTATTTATTATTTATTACTAAATACTATATATTGTTTATTAGTGGTTTTTATTATTATTATATTATTATTATATTTTTTAATAAATTATTATTGTTTTTTATTTATTGTTTAATATTTACTATTTACTACTTATTATATATTAGTTTATTTAATTAGCAAAAATTGTCTATATTAATTATTTATTGTTAATTAATTGTTACTTATATTATTACTAAAATAAATTAAAAATATTATTCACTGTATATTATTTATTACTTTTGACTTTTTTATTTATTTCATTATTTATTATTTATTATTATTAATTTTCTATTGTTTTTATTATTATAATTATTTTACGGTTATATATAATTTTTATGTATTTTTAATATCAGATTTAGCCATTATTTACTTTTTATTAGACAACTTCTATATATAAAATAAAAATAAGTGTTTTATAATAGAAGATAATGATAATAGGTATAGTGCAAAATTTATTAGCCTTCCCGTAAAATATTATTTTTTTTAAAAAAATATTTACCTTGAATTATATAATGATAGTAATTTTTTTACAAGATTGTTGCAAAAATTATAAATTTTTATTTATAATATTTATATTATATAATTTTAATTTTATAAAAGGATTCTCTTGATAACCTATTTTTGTTAATAAGTTTTATTATTATATTTTTTATTCAGAAAATTATTATTTTATGTAAATAAAAAATTTTTTATTTATATTTTTCTTTATTTTTAAATATTACTTTTTAATTAATCTGAGTAATTTCAGAAAAGTTTACATGAATAAGTTTTTTCTATAATTAGAATAAAATGGTTTACGAAAAAAATACTTTTTATATAAATTTAATATAATTTTATACTTAATTTCCATTATCATTAATTATATTTATTTTTAGACTCTTTAGATCCGGCGTTGATTCGTCCTGGAAGAGCAGACGTCATAACAGAAATTGGTATGTTTTTTTTAAATTATTTAAAATACTTTTGCGTTTCCTGTAATTAATTTTATTTTTATTTAATAATTTCATAACTTTGAATTATTTAATATTTTCTTTTTTAGTTGTTTTTATTATTTTTTCAGTAATAATTTTAAATTTTTTCTTATTTTTTTTATATTAATTTTCTTTTTGAAAAGGACCAGCAACAGAGAAACAGATTTACTATTTATTTTTAAAATTTTATCCTAAACATGACGCACTTGCGAAAAAGTTTTCCCAATTTACTTCTAAATATAATATTAGTATGGCGTCGTTTCAGGTTTTTATTTTTTAGAATTTAATGTATGTTAAATTTTTTCTTATTTTTTTTGAGGCGTTCTTTATGGCTCACGTAAAAAGTGCACAAGAAGCTTTTGATTGCGTGGAAGAGCTTATAACAGTAAAGCAAACTGAGAATAAACCATTAAAAGCGAAGTGTTGCTAAAAATTAAAATATTTAATAAAATTTTGAAAAATTATTTAGTTTTTGTAATTTTATTGTTTACTAATTTTTAAGTTAAAGTTAATTTCTTTTTTATCAGTGTTAAAGATAATATTTAATAAGCAACTATATTATATTTATTTGTTATAATAAAAAAGTGAAAAGGCCCTCTATAAAACATTCTAAATTATAAAAAAAAACATCCTTCACTTAATTCCTTAGTAAGAAAGTTTTATCAACAAATCAGAATAAAAATTAAGAAAGCAATCACTAAACAGTTATGAAAGATTAAAAAATTAAATTATATTTAAAAAAACCATTCACAAGTATGAACTTAAAAGTAAACTTATTTATGAACAAGATTTTCTGTATTTGAAGGAGGCACATGTAATTTCCTAGATGTCGTAACGGTTAACTTGTCATCATTGGCGTTTTCAAGAAGTTAAGCGGATCTTCACTAGAAATAGAACTGGACCTACTCTTTAAAAAAAAGCATTTTATGAGTTTTCGGTTTTGGATAAAGGGTCTTAATGATACAAATCGTAATGGTAAACAGTATATAAAGGAAGAAAGCAAGAAAAAGATCTTTTTCGATAAAGAGCAAATGTTCTATGTAAAAAGGGTTGGCGGTCTAGCGAGCTTCGAAAAGGTCTGGAGTTGCGAAAGGGTTAAAAGGAAAATGTTAAAAATCGAGCCCGAAGAATACACTAAAGTTGGAACCTCGAAGTTAAAGGTGTAATGAAATGGGCACCGTTGCAAGTCTAAATTTAAGAAAACTGTTCTGCAGCCTAATTTAAATACGAAATTTAGAATAAAACAATGGTGAAAGTGCTCAGGTGGGAGTGCGAGATGCTATTGAGAGCGGGATATTCAGAGGAAACAATTAACATGTTATTGAATTATGTTCAAGCTAGGGTGTAGAGTCAAACACATTAAAGGTGCTAACCCAGAAAAAACCCAGCAAACACTACAAAAATTTGAGAATGTGTGCCGTCTTACAAGGGTTAAATGACAAGTGTGCAGTGGAAAGATACCGGGCGTCGGGAGAGGATATTAACATTTCGAAAAGAGAAAAAGATATTTAGCACCCTAGATAATGGTAAAGGATTTTGTTAAAGAGGGATACGTCCAGCATCAAGAAAATATATTGCATTTACTATACTGGACGGTAGGGCGACGCGATGAACTGTGCTCGCGTTGTGATTAACTATAGCGCCCCTAAAAGGTAGCGAAGAATAACTAACAAGAATTATAGATGTACATTTCTTTTGCGTTGCTTGCCCGAAATGTTAACAAACACGCACCTATCTACTATTACGCAAAATGCACCCTCCCGCCAGCTTCCACGCACACAAGAAAAGACCATTTGCGTAGTCTCCCATCTATTTATACCCTTAAATTAAGGCACATGCTAGGAATAATAACGAACACATTCGGGAACATGCTACTAACACTCTTTCGAAAACCAGAAAAGTATGGATTGTGTAACGGCTGACCTTATTTATACAGGTATTTACGCTGACGACTATTTAATGATTAGCAATTCTAAAGTGGAACATTATAAAAGGTTGTGTAATTTAATTACATACAAATTCAATTGTAAGAAAGAGTGAAAATAAAGTGCAACCGTTTAAATATAAGGCCGAGACCGAAAAACAAGGGGTTAATGTTTTATTTAAGCACTGAAGTTTTGGAATCATTATATTCTTAATAGTGCCACCATAACTGAACCCCCTACGAAACTTAAAGAAAATAGGCTGATTTTCATTGGAACAGCGATCAAGAGGCTGTATGGAATACCATATGACGCCTCTTAAAATGAAGATTGAGCGTGGAAAATGAAAAAAATAATTGATGCAAATGAAGTCGATATAGGGGAAAATGGATGATTGTATTACATAGCGATTGTCAGTTCTAAGTTTAACGATGCTCTGTAAAAGTATAGTATCACCGGTAGAAGCTTGAGCCGTAGGGTGGTGCACGAACAAACCCATGGGCTACGTTTAACTTACCATAAGGACGTTGGTTATAGAAGCTAACCATGAGAGCATTCTCCATATCTTTCTAAACAAACACAAAGCTATTACCCTGAGAGGCAAGAAAATTAGCCGTGGTACGCTTATGATGAGTAATATTCACCGACTTTTAAAAACATAAATTTCGGAGAAAAAACAATGTTATTGTCGATTTGGTGTCCCGCTTACCTACTGAGGAGACTTCCCAAAAATACATATAGCTTGGGTAATCGCTATGGTTGAACAAAACGATAAGATTCAAAAAGTAAGAGATGTAGATCAAGAGCGGTTTTACTTAGGAAAAAAGAAGTTACAACAGCAGCTAAAAGAAGTTTTGAAGAGCGTATAGATAAGGTTGTGGATGAATGCGAATTCTATCATAAATCTGAAAACAAAAGGGGTAAGCCCTGTGAAGAACTCTTTAAAAAACCGCTAGAACTCTTATCCGTTAATATAATGGTAAGGCCTCAATCCACAGAAAACCATAATAGCGTTTTCGACTATTGTAGTTTATAGATGTACTTGTTATGTTGAGTCCAACGTTTACAAAAAGTAAAAACAAAAGTTAATTATAGAATGTTTCTAAAAAATCTTTAATGGCAAATACCAACACTGATAACTATAAGTCTTCAATCTGTCTTTTAAAGTAGATTAAGCATTTTTTAACACCACTGATTACCATCGGTCTAACGGTCTGGGTGACCAAGCAACTCAAGCTATTAAAAAGCTTTAAGCTAGTTGTGTAAGAGAAATGGTATGGACTTCTTTATTAAATAATTACAACTATAGACATAACAGAATTTTTAAGGTGTCTGGTGTCAGTCCAATGTTTATGATGTTTAAAAAAAAATTGCTGAACAGGAGTAAAGTAACCATACTCTCGGTAATTTCCACAAAGACACGCTGACATTTTCGAAATCATTACGAAGTTAAAAGAGGACTGAAAGGTAAACAAAGCAGCTTAAAACGTTTATGAAAAAAAAAGGCAATACGAGAAGAGAGTCGTTAACAAAATTGATTTTGCCGTAGGGAGATTAAAGAGTTAAAATTGGAAGGGTTTCGCTAGACTGCTGGAGATTTTAAATAATGGAATTCTGAAGTTGGAATATAGAGGAAAATTGTTACTGAGACATAGTAATCATTTTAAAAAACAAAGATAACGAAACCAAAACTGTATTCGAGCTTGTGTCGTTTGTGCGTTAATGTACTGTTTAATTATTGAGATAAGCCAATTAAAGTAGAGTATTATCAAAAATACCATTGTGAAATCAAAAGGTAGAAACTGGTTAGAATGGGTAGCAGCTAGTATGGGAAGGATTGCTATAGTTTTAAAAAAAGAACCAAATCCATTTGTAATATGAATCGAGAAGAGTTGACAAATTATTAGGAAACATTCAGGGAACAATAAGAATACTTTTGGTCCTAAAAAACCTAATATGCTGGCGTCTTTCACTTTGCTATACAGTGGGTAATAGAAAGCAACATTCACCCATGCACGTAGTATATAAATTAAACTATGTATATTAATTAAAGATATAAAACAAGTTACTTTATTATTGGGCTCCCTTCTGATAAGTAGCTCATAATCGGGGAGGACTAGCTAGCAGTGGTGCTGGCCGGTGTCTCCAGGTGGCCTCGGGTCTTGTGCCTAAGGGACGCCTCTCTCGGTGGGGTTAAGCAGTTTTATTGGGAAGGCCTTTGGACTTGAGCCTAAGGCTACCTCTCCCGGATGTGGTTTTCTAGCGGTTTCCAACACACTGGGCCGAATGGCGGGGGCCCTGCCCTGATATTTTCACCTTGCAGTTCTTCGGTACAACCATTATTGCACCCTAAAGAGCGACACTGGTGTGCGCTCGTGCTCCAACTCCTGCAGAAAAGGGAATTCAGATTAAGCGGCTTTTGGTCTTATAAAGACCGACCGAGTTTGCCAATGCTGAAGAAAAAAGTTACTTTATATACGTGGAACAGCGGCACTAGAGCACACATAAAAATTTGATATAATTATATAAATATTATTTTCTGAAAGAGTTTATTCCTTTTAGGTTAGTCTACCATTCATCTTTATGGATTTTTTTAAACCGCAGTAATTAGTTGATTACCTCGTGAAATTTACTAACTCTCTAAATACTTTCAGGTACATCGTGCTAAAAAGCTTCTAAAGATAAAGGAAGCTACAATAATTGAAAAAACTATTAATAAAACGAATACGCATCAGTACTTTTTATGCTAAAGAATTATAAGCCCCCGACCTAAAACAAAAACTTCATTAAGTTTTCCTTATAACTATGTGCATTTAACAAGAATGCAGCAAATGGACAACATTTTTAAGAATAAATAATTAAAAGACCGTTTGTGGTGTAAATAAATAAACTAAGGTCAACCTTGACGTAAACCAACTTTTTCTGAGTTTTGTTGGTTAAATATGTGTAATCAAAACGGCTTTAACCAAAAAGATTAAGTAAACTTTCTAATAACTTATAAAGCGCTTGTTGGCAATATTTAGTTTTAAATAGAAAAGTTGCAAAATGGTTGAGTATAAAGTTTACGTTCTTTAACGCTGTCTTTATATATCGAATGATGTACAGGTATGGAGATTTGCATATAAATTTTATTAAATCTTAATGCTGAGAAATTAACGTACGGTCTTAAAATTATAATTTTAACTTATTATATGAGCTGAAAGATTTGTATTTAAATTTTTTTAAATCCTAACGCTAAGAAATTAACGTACAGTACTTAAAATTTTAATTTTAACTTAGTATATGATCTGAGGATCTTTTTTTATCCATTGCTTTAGACGCAGGAAGAAACAAGTATACAACAATTATATATATTTTTTTGTAATTAAAGCAACTGAGGCGTTATATATAGAAGGTCAGGATATTTACAATTTTAACTTAAACAATATTTGGGTAAACATCCCCAACTCTGTTAAAATGAGTCATTAAATGTTGCTTAAAGAAAACCCTAATAAAAAAGGATGGAGCA